ATCCATATGTTCACACAGCTTCCATTATTTGTAATGGAGATTACATATGTTCCTCATCGATGGAGATACAATGCCTTTGTAAGTTTCAGAGGTGAAGATATRCGTARAAGTTTCATCGATCATTTGTTCAAAGATTTCAGGCAAAAGGGAATTCTTGCTTTTAGAGATGACACTCAATTGCCAAGAGGAGAAGAGATATCTTCTGAACTCTACAAGGCCATTGAAGAATCAAGGTTTTTGATAGTTATCTTSTCCAAAAACTATGCCTCTTCAACATGGTGTTTAAGGGAACTTGTAAAAATCCTCGAGTGCAAGCAATTGGGAGAGCACAAACATGAGCTTCGGATTATATTTTATGATGTTAAGCCTAATGTTGTGAGGAAACAAACTGAGAGCTTTGCAGAAGCATTTGACAAATATGAAGTTTCAAACAAAACAGAGGTGGATAAATGGAGAAAAGCTTTATTCACGGCAAGCAATTTATCTGGATGGGATCTCCAAGACATGGTAAATGGGTAAGTAAATGATACTCTTTAGTGCATGATATGATACTCTTTTGGCATTCAAATTAACTAAGGGGACAAAGAATTCATATGCCATTATGTATAGCAGGTGATCTTCTCCCATAATGAAATATGTAATCTAGTAACTCTATGAAAACTTACCTATGCATTTGTGGTTCTTTTTTGTTAACAGCTATGAGTCCAAGCTCRTTGATAGTATCTCCAGSGAAATACTTGAGAAGTTATGTATTGGACCCTTACATATCGGTGAAAATCTAGTAGGGGTGGATGCTCGTTTAAATAATCTAAACTTGTTGCACATTGTTGGTTCTAGTAAGGTTCACATGATTGGAATATGTGGTGTTGGTGGTATAGGAAAGACAACACTTGCCAAAACTATATATAACCTCATGTATATCCACTTTGAGGAATGTAGCTTTTTGGAAGATGTCCAAGGATCCACAAAACGACATGGACTAACTCAGGTTGTAATGCAACTTATTAATGACATCATGAAAACAGCAGATGTGAAGGTATCCAACATCAGTCAAGCAATTATGGTAATGAAGCAGATGATAGCATCTAGGAGCATCCTACTTGTTGTAGACGGTGTCGATCATCAAGAACAGTTAGATGCACTAGCAGGTTCTTGTAATTGGTTTTRTCCGGGAAGTTTGATTATTTTCACAAGCAAGGACAAACGGTTGCTAGCTCATAAGGTGGATGAAATMTATGATATGGAACTGTTAGATGATGTCGAAGCTCTTGAGCTCTTTAGCTTGTATGCCTTTAGACAAAAACAACCTACAAAACACTTCATCGAGCTTGCTGACCAAGTTGTGGATTATGTGCAAGGGCACCCTTTGGCTCTCAAAGTTTTGGGTTGTTTTTTGTATGGTGAGACCGTACATGTGTGGAAAAGCGAACTGGATAAGTTGCGGACATATCCCAATGCAGACATACAAAAATTGCTTCGATTAAGTTTTGACGGATTAGACTCCATTCAACAAAGGGTCTTTCTTGATATTGCAAGTTACCTTATCGGGGAAACTAAAGATTTTGCAGCGAGTGTACTAGATAGTTGTGACTTTTTTGCTGATACTAGTATCAAAACTCTAGTTGACAGGTCATTAATTACTATTTCCAGCACTRAGTTACTTCAAATGCATAACTTGATTCAATGCATGGCAATGGAGATTGTTCGTGAAGAGTCTAAGCAGGTTGGGGACCGAAGCAGATTGTGGATTCAATCAGAGGTTTGTGATGCATTGAGAAGAAATAAGGTAAAAGTTGGCATATAATTT